GGAAGGTGAGAAACGGTATGGTGGAGAGTCCACAATACTTGAAGATGTTTTAACAAAAGCTGTTTCGCAAGTCTGCAGAACTCAACGGTCGAGCGAGTAGAAGAAGCGACTATAAACCTCTGGGGCCTGGAGGTCTTGAAGAGGAAGCAAGGCCAAAAGCTCAATGCGTGACTGCAGAAAAGGTTTAAAAATTGAAAGGCAGGTACGTCAGTGCTGGCCGGGCACTGATATCACATCCACTTGGTGCGGTCTTTGTTAGATGAGGCACACCAAGGGATCCTCATCCCCCTGCTTCTTTTTTGCGCGCTTTGTACATGTTAAAAAATTGACAAGCTGTGCGCTAATAGCGATACTAGGAGCCTTTAGTAGCGAAACCGGGGGCCCTTAGTAGCGTCCTTTGTGACTCGAAACCTTAGGGACAGGTGTGGACACACACACACACACACGCACGCCCTGAACCAAATTGCATGTTCGTCATCAACCTGCAAGTAGTTATGTGGGCAACTGCAGGTACAACGTAGGCGCAGCACAGGAGCAAACAAACTAAAGCAGAAAGGAACGAAACGCCCTTTGTAAAGTCTCTGCACATCAGTCCAAACACTTCCACCCCGCTGGTCGGCCTCCACAAGCACTTTGAAGCCTCTGGTGGGCAAGGGGCACCTGCAGCGCCAAGGAAGTGCAATCCTGGGCCTCTAGCTAGACAACAGGCAGCTTTCAAAACCGTTCTAAACTAGCGAGAAAAAGGGATCAAACTGCTTTAACTTCCCAGTAAGGCTGTCGTTCAGCATGGCACAGTTAAGCTACTGCAATGACCACCGTGGAACATGGATCAAGCCATGCCAATCAATACGTCTTCCGCTTGCCGGTCGGATCCCGGTGGATTGGCCTCAGGACAGTGCGACGGCATCGGTTTTTTGTGACATATTTGTGACCAACAATGCGCTATGGCACGTTGAACATGTTGGAGGTGTCACTGCTGCTGGCAACCAAGTAAGTGAAGAAACAACAAAATGTTGCGCTATGCATGGTGGCATGCCTCCATGCCATTCGGTTGTGACATGGCATCTCTGCCAGCGGGCCAAGGTAGCTGCAGCCGCTCACAGCGCGCGACGGGAGATGGCTTCGTTTGGGCCTTGGTAGGCTGCAGCACTTGGAAGCACAGGCATGAACTCATGAACAAATTGCCATCTCCAAGGAGAAAGACTTTCACTTACTTGTCGCCCATTGATTGTGGACAAGGACTGCCTGGAGCTTCTTCCACCAATCGCTGTTGCGATCTCGCTCAAGGGCTCGCTCTGCAGCTGCCTCCGCTTAACAGAGACTTAAAGACGTATAGGTAGCGCAGGGTGTGGCTCAATCGAATTCTAGCTACTAGTAGCTTCTTGTTACTAGTAGTACTGGCCTCCAACCAAGTAGCTTCTAGCTATTGCTATCTAAAGCAAAAATAGTTGGAAAATGTTGGAAATTGTTTCCTCGAAACTCTTTCGGACGCACCTGGCCTCTGCTGCTGCACGGTATGCCTTGTCTTCGTCTTCAAATGGCCTTGAACGGTGAAAGCACGAATCTGCGCAAATGAAGGCATGTCGAAAGAACAAATCAAACACACGTCCTACCCCGAGGTTCGCAATCAAATTCCTTTTTGCAACGCATACCTGTGTGCACGCACCTCGGATTCTCCTCCACTCGTTCTATATCCTCACGCGGCCTGTGGGGCGAAACAAATGAGTTGTGAGCCGGCTTGGCCACCCAGAATTTGCCACAAAACGCTGTCACGGTGGCACATCCGTACAGATGGGGGAATGGGCAAGCGGCATAACTGTGTTCCTCTTAGCGTCACGCAAAGAGTGGCACCATCTCCACTGCATCAGGTCAACGACACCGACTTTTCAGTTGCCTAGGAACCGACTTCTCGGGCTTCGATGTCCTGGGCGACTCGTTGAACGGAGCACATCAAGAACTGCAGCTCTGGTCACCTCTGCGCACTCTGCTTGAGTACTTCAGGAGCAGCTTGCGCGACCTCACGCGCACACAGTCGGCACAGTCGGTGGAAGGCTCCCCAGCTCTCGAGCTGTCCATTTTTTCCAGCAAGCGCTACTGTACAGGACGACTAAGCGTTGCCAAAATTCTTGGGTAGTGGCTGGCAAAAAGGAATTAGCAACTTCTGCTTTGGTGGCTTGCATTCGCTAGCCGCTAGCCAGCAGGACAATCACAAGCAGTCGCAAATGCTTCCTCGCTGGGTTCTTCACTCACGCAGCCCATCTCATAGTTTGCAAAGTCAAAGTCCTGGAGCAAGCGGCACTCGCAATTGCCTCAATTTCGAACCACGCACTTTCCCCACGCTTTCATCATAATTAAGCCACAGGTGTGGTGGGTCAAACTCAGTGTCTAGCTGCCCATTCCAAAGCCAACAGTATCCTATCACTATCCCCAGTGCGGTTACCTATACATATGGCAAGGGCCACAGCTCCTAAAGGACAGAAAGTTCAATTGGGCACATGCCCAATTTCCCAACTGCTCCCAACTCGGAAAGCTCTGGCAACATCTCTACAAGAACTCCTTCCCTGATGGCAACACCTGCCGTGGCCCTGTCGCACAGACCTTGCAAAAAACGAGTTTCAATAGCGTCCTTGCTCCTAGTAGCGATGCCAGGAGCCCCTAGTAGCGTTCGTGTTCCTAGTAGTAAGGCCGGGAGCCCCTAGTAGCGTCCTTGCTCCTACTCCTTTCAAGTTATTTCTGCGGAAAGGACTTTGAGAACCTCTCTCAATTAAACGCCTGTCATCGCTGGGCATATGACATCAGAACCTTCTAGATTTGAAGGTGTTGCATTGTTTCAACCAATCGCTGTGGCACACCCACAGGTAGACATGGTTCCAAAACACCAGTCCCAACAAAACCACGCGAAACTGAAACAGAATGCAGCATCACCAGGACTTCCGCCCCGCTCCAATGGAGCATCCGCAACACAACAAAACACCAGGACGTTCAATGACTTTCACCTGTGCGAGCCTTTCAGAAACAGTGGTCTGATTAGTCAAAAGATGTCAAAAGATTTGCTGCAATATGACAAGACACGTAGCCACCAGCCCTTGCGGAAACCACAGCCTTTCCGCTCCTCGCGCAGAAGAAGACTCACCGGTGAAGCAGCCATCAAGCTTGAGCACACACTTAGAACAATTCCAAAACTAAGATAACTAAGTGATTACCTTCCCTTCTTTCAATGAATTGGTCAAAAGGAATTGGGCAAATAATCCAAGACCTGCAGGCTGTAGGAGAGGTTCATTTCTTCTCGGAAATGACTTGTGGCGGAAAATCAATCATCAACCACGTCCGAAGTTCTGACAATATGTGTTTACATAGTTTGGCCGAAAGTAAACAATTAGCAAATCCATGCAAATTCTGAATTTCTGAAGATCAAGTCTTTTGCATAGTTTGGCGAAAAGTCAGGAATGGACAGCCTCTGAATTTCTGAAACATATCTTGCTTTTTGCATAGTTTGGTGGAAAGTCGGGCATAGATATTTTCTGAACTTCTGGAAATGAATGATATGTCCACCCATGTCGTTTAGAGAGCTTCAGAAAATCAACAAAGTGCACATGCAGCACAAAAACACATGGCGTTGCTACGCGGTGCCACCACCGGTCACTGACCGGTCAGTGCCAGGATTGAACGGCCCAGCTTTCTGATGTGTCATTGCCTTAAAAAGATCCAACGTCGTTTGCTTCATCTTCCAACTGGTTGAACTATGTTTTTTCCCCTCACATCTTGCGCAAATGTTCCCCCCGAAGTTTGCCACGCTTTTGAATTTTTGTCGTGAACGCAAACCGGTCGATCAGCGATGATTCGCATCCTTGAGGCCCATTTTCTCGGTGAGATGGCCGATCAAATCACAGTGGGCCACCACGACCTGGATGCAGGACCAAACCCAGGGAGGTCAGCGGTTGGAGGCCCCACTGGTGAACAGGTGGTAGCAAAATGATTGTTGACTAGCCCACATCCAATCGACAGTTGAAAAGGCATTATCGGCATATTGTTTGCAAGTCTTTTTCGTGCAACTTTCATTTTCCAATCTACGGCCTTTTCAAGTTTCTCAACTCTCTCTCTCTCTCTCACTAGGCTTCTGGCCAGCTTCTGTTCGGACACGGCGGACAGTTTTCGCAGGAGCACCTCCAAGCGCTGCTCAAAGATCGCTTCATCGGCATCCTCGAAGGCGTCGGGGTCTCTCTTGTAGGCCAGTCGCATGTCGTCGCCTCGCACCCAAGAAGCGGCTAAAACATGCTAAAACTAAAGGGGCACAGAGCGAAAAAGACATCTGCATAAACCTCGTATAACACATCGTATAGCCCTTCTATGTTTATCTGTGCTTTTTCTTGCTGGTTGGTTTGATTGCTTTCTTCGCAGCAGTCACTTTTAAAGCATCAGTTCATAGTATTCATTTATTTGCTTCTGTCAGACCAGGTGACACTTAAATTTGATAACACAATAAAATACGGATGGTTCTAACAATGATTTGCAACATGCTTATATAGACCTCTTATGAAAGGCCCTCGGCTTCACGCCAGGCGGCCATCACCTGGGAGATCTTTGTACACGTGCGGCACGGTCCACCAAATCTCGGGCAAAGACTGCAGTTGCTCTGAGAGATGCGGGTACGTCTCCAGCAACTGCTGGGGCGTTGAACCCAAGTCATCACATCCGGTCACCTCGGTGACTCAACTGATCCCAAAGACGTCTACCGTCTAACTGATCTGAACTTCTAAAAGCCTGGATTCTCTATTAGGATTGTTGAAGTAGGCAGTAGGCATGACATGTGATTGTTTGCAAACACTTGAAACATGTGCGATCCTCTGCTGTGCGATCCGCTTCTCTGTCCAGGATACAACTTCACGCAGCTCTGGCCAAACTTCAAGACGGCCTTCGGAGCCAAAGAAGGCCTTGGGCCAAAGACCTCCAGTGAAAAATGGTGTCTGGCAGTGTCGGGTTGACCGAACCGAAGGCAGTCTACAGGTCTTGAAGCAGGGAAGAAGAGGAAAAACATTGATAAACTACTCTAAGCTGAGGACATTTCCTACATTTTCCTACCATTGCCGGGTGGAAGACCATTGACACGAAGGTGGGCACACAAGCATGGGTGGCGCATCGTGGCATTCAGCCTGCAGCAGTGTCAAGAGCGCGCCGCAGAGGGGAACTCAGCAGAAGCCAACCATCTGCTCCGCAGGCTTCCTCCGACGCAGGCTTCCATGGGCCGGGCATGTCGCAAACTCAACCCTCCGTGGTGTGCTCTCATCAAGCGAGCCTAGATGTCATGCAGCCCCTTTCAGTCTGTTCCTTCAAGCAAACGGACAAAAGGTCATCCATCATTCAAGTGGTGCGGGAAAAGGCCCATTTATCCACACCAAGGACTATTCTGACTATTGACATCTATTGACTATTCTGCCTGTAGCTCTGCCAGCTCTGCTTGGGCTTCTCGTGCTTGCGCCAAGCCCTTGGATGTCAATGGGGCATCGCGGATAAAGGGATCTTCTCCAGTCTCTCGCATGGCCTGCATCGCGGCGGCACCCTTGCGATTGCAGTGAGGTTTCAGACCAAGCGGCCAAAAGGACCAAAACTGGGAAGCACATACGCATAAGCATGGAAGCGAACAATTATACTTAGTGGAAGACTACCTTCCTCATCTTTCCTCCACAAACATGTGGTCGGCCGTATATACACTTGTTGCCCGCGCCTTGTTGTATTCAGATTGGCCGTGGCGTACAAAAATAATCGTTTTCAACGCCATACTGCTGGTCGCGAGGAAGAACTGACATGTGAAGTGAGTGGAGTGGAGAAGGACCAGCGAGACGCTAGCACAGCATTGAGCCCAACAGCTGTGTATAGAAAAGAGATGAAACAAGAGCACAGGCAAATCCGAATGGCGAGATTCACCATGCAATGTACAGTTTCTATATATATATAAGGTATGACCCCCTATTTTAAACTTATTGCATCTTACTGCATCTCAGTATCTTGGCTTGTGCTTGGAAGCTCCTTTACGGGCCACCTGTTGGATCCCAACATCACTCACGGCAACGGAGAAGCACTCGAGACTCATGGTGCCGCAAAGGACCATGCTGGCTGCACTGGAGCAAGCGCAGGAGCCGCAGGAGCCGCAGGAGCCGCAGGAGCCGTAGGAGCCGCAGGACTCGGGCAGTAGAAGTCAAAAGCTGCCAAAACAGTAGCACATCATGGCACCACGACTCTTTGTGTCCTGTAGAACCTAGGGTGGCTCGCCGCGCTCGCGCTCGCTATTGGTGCTTGGCTCCGTCCTGGGAGTATATCCATGCATCGGAGGAGCTAGCCTCAGCTCTGCCCAGAAATAGAATGCCCACAGCATACAAGTGCCTTAATTCTTCTGAGATACAAATGAATTTGTCTCAAAAGGAGGGCGAGGCATCGGCATCACCATGGTAGAAGGGAAAAGGGGTCCCCAAATTTTAAAACAAACACCTTCCTGACAAAAAAAGCTAAGAACACGCGATTTTCTCTGTGGACATAGGTATACATGGCAAAGGGACAGCCCGTTACGATGCATTGTGAGTTGAGTTGGCCTCTTGGACGGCACTGAGCCCGTGGCCGTGCCAACATTTCGGCAGCACGCGCATCCTCTTCCGCCTGCGAACGCAAGAACGCTCCCTCCACTGCGAAGGGCTTTGCTCGGCTGGGGAGTGAAAGGACAGTTTGATCAACCATCTCTGTGTTAGATGGATCAATATGGATCAAAACCGTTTCACTTGATGAGCTCCAGCATCAGCAGCTCACCTGTTGACAATCATAATGTGTTTGGCTTTGGGGTACCTCAAAAGATTTGTCAATCCTGTCCCATCTAAAGTAAAGGGTACAGTAACACCAAGCAAACAGCTGATTACTATGGACCCTGTCTGTTTCCCTTACCCTAACAGCTTGAAAACAGAAGAGCACTCTTGACCCACACTCTGAGGCCCCACAGCTAGGGCACCCAAAAGATCCTCTTGAACCTGACGGATGCATGGCATATGGCAAAGGACAGCACCTTGGGTTTATATCTTCCTCTTGAGAGGGCTTCCTTGTAGGGCCGTAGGGGGTGCATTGCCGACAAGAGATCAACTGGAATCATTCAAACAAAATGCAAACTGCAAACAGCTGCAATCGAATTTTCCCTGATTGCGTTGGCGCAAAAGAAGCGAATTGGACGATGCAACCAATCTGGTTGAAACGTGCGCGCAACACGCAACTGTCATCCTCGCTGCTCAGCGTCTAGGGCCTAGGGGATGTCCAAAGCAGTCGAAGGCACGGGGCATGTGGATGAGCTGCAAGATCTCCCGCGGACGACGATGCCCGTTCACTTCCAAGAGTCCGTCCCCTTCGAGAATAGCTGGTGCGGTTACGTCTCAGCCTCAGCCATCTCAGCAGCCTTTCATACGTGAGTAAACGTTCTTCTCACTGACACATGAGCCCTCACAGTCCATCTGCGCCGCGGCGCTGAGGCCCACATGAGTACAGAAAGCTCAAAAACAAAGCAAACACGAATTTGCTGTTGCAGCTATCAACGCGATATTTTATACTATATATAGATTATATAGTCTTGAATTCCATGAGTCTAACGCTCTAACCGCTCCTATGGATATGTTCACATCAATGTCGACCTAGAAACAAGATCGAAAGTTGACTTGCAGGATCCATACAAGTGTTCTTGCCACATCTTGCCACAGGACCTTGAGCCCAGCTGCCTGGGACAAAGAGCCTTCAGTGTTGGGTGGCTTAAATGCTACCAGAAATCCACATAGCTTGAAGGAAGTTGCTGCATCAAATGGCACAGCAGCCGGTACACAATAGCATGGCATAAACCCACCCTTTCCCCGCATCCTTAGAGCAGCTAATTGCGCATGGCTGGGGTCATTCTGCGCAACGCGAAGATAGGCGCCAATCACCGCCCAATGAATCTGCGCCTACTAGTAGCTCCTGGCCTTACTACTAGGAGCAAATAGCGACTAGTAACAAATAGTAACAAAGGGCCTCGCTGTTGGGAGCAAGGACGCTACTAGAGGCGCTCCTGGCATCACTACTAGTAACAAGAAGTTAGTAGGTTAATTAGTTTTCTTCGCACAAATAGCGTGAAAACCACCGCCTCGCTGTCGATGTCTTTTTGCAAACGCCTCGTCACTGAGTTCCCTGTTCTCCAAGCTTGCCCCGAGGCAAAGCGTCCCACCTGATTCGGATCCTTGTGATCAGAAGCATCCGCACATGGTCATGGGCTAAAGTAGCTGGGTAAGTCTTTCACGTCACCTTCTGATCGATGATTCTGAACTAATTAAGTATTTATGTACATTTATATTTATATGCATATGTTCATAAAATGTTATAACAGGCTATATGTGTGGAGATTAACATGCAATATGATCAAAAACACCAGCATGTAAGCCAAACACCAGCATGTAAGCCACTGCCAACCATTGCCAACCAGTGATTCCTCCACAGAGTCACCAGCCCGACATCGCACTGCCGCTTCGAAAGCGTACATTCGAGACAACTTCAAGCTGGCTTCTAGCAGATCCTGCCTGTGACGACCCAGTATTGGTCTGCCAAGGCCAGCTGATAGCTACAACCCCCTCACCTGCTTCAAAAAAATCAACTGTCGCTTCTCAATGGCCCACCATTGGTACTGTATCACAAACATTCACAAACCCCACTAGGCACTTGCTCGCTGAACCTGAAAATCAAATCACTGAAATGGCTCCTGGGGCATCCTAGGGCCAGGCTTGAGAAGTACCATGGCCTCCATGCTCGAGGGCACAGCAGCGGATTTTCTCTGCCAACCCCAAAGTCACGGAATGTGAGGCCCGTCAAGAGAGGCTTCTGTGTCCATCATCTGCTGATGGTGACTGTGCCTGCCAGTCTCCTACAGGCCTGGATGTCCTTCAAACGCAGCTGTTGAGGTATGGCGGTGTATCTAGCTGGTCGTTCTATCGGCTGAAGGGTTCCATCGTATCTGAAGGAGTGTTGCTAAGAAAGCAGGGCTGCTAAGAAACAGAGTCCTCGCAAAGAGAAAAGAGACGGTCCAATTTCAGCTGTCACAGCAGCGGCGCAAGCCCCTCAAGGAGTGAGCATAGGACAACTGGAGAACGCCTGGGCTTTTTGCTCGGGAGGTGGCTATAGAAGACTTATGAGCTCCAAGCTTTAGAGCCTTGTGCACGGTCAAGCTTCAAGAAGGACCTCCCCAAACCATTCAAACAATCGAAATGATGCTAGCTGCTAGCTGCTAAGTTGTGGCTGCGTACGACATACGCGCTGCTAAGTCGTGGCCTCCTTCATGGGCTAGCTGGGTGCACCAAGGGCACATACATCACCTGAGCATCGGCCGAAGTTTGTTCACTGTCGAATGATTGGGAGTGAAAAACGTCGAAGTCCCAGCCACAAAAACATAATGACTCTGAATCAATCAAGAAAGCCTTCCTGGCCTCCTAGCCTGAATTGGAGATGAATATACTCCACTGCTTCACTTTTTCAGACACATTCCTGGCCCTTGGCTCTGCTGGCAAACAAGCTGCCCCCATGAGACTCTTCTGCTCAAAGTTGCCATTTGGCAGCCGATCCTAGGTTGCGGAAATAAGCCAGTTGCCGGCCCAAGATGAGCCAAGGGCAAACATCTGAAGTCCAAATGGAATTCTCACCCTGGCCCTGGCGCCCAACTACAGGAACTGCTGCTTGGCTTGCCCAGGACAACGTCGAATGGTTTACGGAATTAAACACCAACATCCAGGAGCCAAATGAGTTGACACCGCAGTGCAGCTCGATGTGGCCCAACCGGGAAGGTGTGAACTCCAAACTTCAGCTCATCTTCCGGACACGAGAGCGCGGCTTGCCATTCGATGGTCGAACCACGCAGAACAACCACGGGGGTTCGCCTGTTCGTACCGTATCGCCTGAGTCTCGGGGTTCGGTGGTTTGGGTCCCCGTGAAATTTCGCCAAGAGTCGATGGTGCAGAACTGCTGGGAAGTGGTGCCAACCTGACTCCGCTAGGCCACAGTTTTCTGGTCCGCGTGTGCTGGACAACTTGATGGGGATGAAGATTGGACAAAGTTGGGGGGTCCAAGGATCAATAGACATGCCATGTTGGTGGGTTGGTGCTCTCTTCATGTCTCAAACTCTTTGGGCAAGTAGAATTTCAGTAGAACCAGTAAGTATCATTGTCATGATCAGTTCACGGCAACAAAACCACAAGATACAAAAATATCAGTTTAAAGCCAGGATGGATAAATATGCCTCGGACGCCGTAGCAAACCAGGCAACTTTTCAAGAAATCATGCTGACGAGGTGTGCACGTCCTCCCTGCTTAGGCCCGCGAACTTCCCAACCAAACCGGTCCCAGTTTCCCGAATCCAATTCATTCATTCCTTTTGGAGTCCTTGTAGGTTATTCTCGAACTTGTGTGAGTTCCTTCCAGGCTTCTGACGTCTTAGGGTTCCTTTGAATGTCATCGCGTTCCTTTTCACTCCACAAATCTTGCCATTCTCATGGACCATTCAAGGTCAAACCTCCTCCTAATCCTTCTTGATTTGTGACCTTCTAGCGGCAAGGGATGTCTGTGGCTGCCATTCTTGAAGGGTGGTCGATATACATATTTCCACTCATAATTCCCTGTGTTTCCCCATGTTCCTACACTTTCTCAAGCCCAGATGCCGGGATGACCATACGACCTCCTGGCTTCAGTTGCTCCAGCAAAGCTTCAGGCACTGACCTAAAAGGCCAGGTGACGATTCGGCAGACCCAGCGTTACCATTTGACTGTGAGGAGCTTCAAAAAGCAACGCACAAAGCACTTTGAAGTCAAGTCGGCAAGTCCACCCCACAAACGCGCATTGGAGGTGTGAGATGAACGAAACCCATCACACGCAGCATTCAGCACTGAAAAATCGGAGAGCTGACTTAAATTCAAGGAGATGTCAGATAGAGACGAGATTGGATGAGATCTGCCGAGCGGGATGAGGGGCAGGTAGCCCACAGAAACCATGTACAAACACCGTCAAGCCGATTGAGGGAAGAAACAACATCTTAGATCGGAGGTGATTATGGTGAAACAGGTGAGGTGTTCGTGATCCATAGCTAGCTCAAGAACCTGCGCATGCGGTTGAAATCCGTTGGTACAAGTCTGGGAGAGGATGATTATCAGTTCATAGCTGCTGGTGGGAATTTAGTATTATATAAGTTACTTTAATGTAAAAAACAAACATATATAGATAGATATATATATATATATATCATATAATCCATTGCAAACTGCTAGGTGGAGGAATTCTTGCGAATACAGGTTGCCGCCAACTGTTACCTATGGCGTGGGTCATGTCGTGATGGGTCTTACGATGATTGCAGCAACATGCTCCAGAAGATTTCAAGGGGCTTCTTCTCCCCAGATTTTGATAACGAATTGGAAAGGTAACTGCAGGCGTGTGGGAGGGTGGGGAGGGAGAGTGGGAAGACAAGCCTGTCAAGGGACAGAACCCCACCACTTGCCAAATTCCAACTAGCCTATGATGTGAGAAATGGCGACCACCCAGCATTCCACAACCTTTTGAAGTCCAAGTGCTCAGCAGCTGCCCCCACATGGATGGAATCGTAGGGCGAGGCCTGGAAACAGGTATCTATGACTCTAAGACTGTATCGTTTTCCTAGCAATCCTGCTCTGGTGTGAGCCCTCAACTCCCCAGCCTTCTCAAAGCCCTTCCAGCCATCGCCCTGTTCTACTTGAAGGGTCCCGCCTCGGTGTTGGGCTGCACAGGTCCAAGCGAAGCCTTTGACTTGGCCTTTGTGTAGTTCTTGTTCGGTTGATACCACGCAGTGTGGAGTGTACTACACAAATTGAGGAGCCAATGATAGCGGATGGAGTTGCTTCTGTGCTGTTGGCGTTTGAAAGGAATCTAAGGTGCAGCCTGGTACAGGTGATGTTGGAGATGCAGAAATGAGCTCGGAGGGCTGCAGAATGGCCCTGTCCCAACTCATTTGCTGGTCGTGTGGCGACTTTACGACTCATATGGGATCCCAGGAGAACTCGAACATGTCTCCAGGCAGCGTGCACATGAGATATGCGCACACCTTCGACTTCAATCTTCCAATCATGCTCCGTACGCAGTATGTCGTCGCGGACTCGTTTGCCAAGGTGCTGTCTATGAGATCAGCGTCAGTCTTCCGCAGGTTTTCCAGGGATAAAGCCACCAAGGGCGACAAATAATCCATTGCCACCACTTTGCCTTCAACTCCAACCATCCGTGCCATCACCGCGGCCAAGTATCCACTTCCGCATCCGACATCTAAGGCTCGCATGCCTGCGCACAAGGAGAATCTTTTGTAGAACTGAAGTGATATCCCAGCATGCTCAGAAAATGCTTTGGTAGCTTTGTTGCGAACATGTGCACAAGGAATTCTTGTCTCCACATTACACCTGCAGTCAGCAAACTGTATCACACCACCCGTCCTGGCTGAAGGTGCTTCGAGAGCAGCTCAAGTGCATGAGCATGCATGTGGGGTGCGCTGATGGTGGCCTACCAGAGTTGAATCGAGAATTCCATCAGAGTTCGGGCCCAAGCACGACGGCAGGTGAACCGTTTTCGGTTGCCCAACTATGCGGGGCCGTTCTCCTGCTGCTCATCATTTGACCCTTTCAAGTCGAAGCCGAGCGATGCTAAGCCCACCTGGTGACCAATCGGCTGCGGTGCGTCTGTATACGGGTTGCGCGGCGCATAGTTGCTGCGATCCACTGTGAGCATCGCTTGCTCCACATGGTCTGAGTGGATGACCCCGGCCTCACCCCACCAACGGCTGTGAGAAACCTTTGGTAGTTAATTCTTTTCATTTTAGAGGGGTCAACCGTCAACCATTGGTTTCACCCACAGCATCACCAGCCAAATGTTATCAGCATTTTAGGACAAGTCTTCAGTGCGTACCTAGTCTGAGGCAGCCGTTGTGAGCATGGACACCATTGTCTCCGTTCCTAGTTTGGCACCACGCACGTGGATATGAGTATACGGTATACATATATTTATTTGCAAGTACAAACCCGACCCTGGCACACACACACACACATATATATATATATACAATATATATATATACAGTAAACATACATACCCCGGCACTCTCTCCTCTCCTTGTTTCCCATCTCCCGGGACCTTGCGGAGGTTCCGCACGAGGTCGGCGTTGCCCGAGGCCGAGCACCGCCAGGCCATGGCGCCCTCCGGATCTGTTTGAGCCGCTGGGGTCGGTCACGCGTGTCATGTGATCAAGGCTTTGCTGCAAGGGTGATAAGAGTATGAGAGGCAAGTTAAGTTTCCCCCAAATATACCCAAATCTGGAAACATCTAGAAACCAAATCATTAGTGCGAGCGCGAGCTATCCTGCGTCCGGTTACTAGAAGCTTTAGTAGCTGGTAGCTTACTCCCTTGCCCTTAATTAGGTAGGCTCCTACTTAATTAAGCAAGGGCGGGCTAAAAATGCTAAAAACAAGCGACGGTTTTGCCGTTCAGGTGAGCGAAGGAGGCCAGGTGAAGCAACTGAGTAGCTGAGTTATGCACCTGTGGTGTCTGCAGCAAAGCCCTTCACTCATTGACCGTGCACCATTGGCCCGGTCTCACGATGCGGGATGCTGTTTGAAGGAGCTTTACCCAATACCAGCTCAGGATGCCCAACAATCCCGAAGTTCATTGAAATGTCCGGATGAGGTGAGGCGCAAGGAGATTCACACCAAGAAGGAGAGAATGAAGGAGTTCACCGCTCATCCTGCGCCATTCGGTGTGTCACCCAAACGCAATCTCAACAGCCTCCCTGCTGAATGACAAAACGGCCGGCAATGACCCAAGGCCAAAGCAAGCATTCCAGCAAGCCATACAACTCTAGCCACTCGTTGCTGCCCTTGGAGCCCATCCGACCATCCCCTTACAGTCTTTCTGATTCTGCCCGGCTCTCCTCACTTTCACTAGAGCTGTATGCTACCAAGCCAGCGCACTGCTGGGACGCCTCCGTTGGTTCGGGCTTGGCCGAACCAAAGGGCCGTGTCTTGAGATACGAAGGTGGCTTTGGGGTCTTCAAGTCCTTGCGTAGGGCTTCCAGCTCAGTACCTGCAGAGTAATTCAGTCAATTCAGCCCAGTGGCAGTTACCCCCCCGAAGGTTCAGAACAGTTTTGTGTGTGATGCTCTGTAAGGCTGCCAGGTTCCAAACAAAAAAGACACCTGACAGACCTGACAGACTCAGACTGGATTCTTCTTCGAGCCTCCAGAAGTTGAGGTTTGGCTTCTGGCCCGCTCCCGTTGAAACATCTCCGCTTCTCGTTCGCGAGAGCGTTTCCTCTTCATCGGCTTCTCATGCCGCTTGTTCCTTCCACGGTCAAAAGAGGCCGTACTCCAGGGCTTCCTCAAATGGGCAGCAATACTCAATACGGGTTAGCATCAAACTATATCGTATATCTTATAGTATAAGATTGTTATCTTATCTATATACCTATCTTATCTACTCCTTATCCAAGTGTTCGCATCAAATGGTTGCACTGTGGTGCCTCGTGCAAACAAGACACTCTATCGCACGACTCCGCTTTGAGCGTTTGTCATGATCAAAGTCGATCATCAGTCCTGGAGAAAGAAGAGGTTTATCGACAGCCCCTGACTCTCTGGCCAAAGACTTTGGTCAGAATCATGTATATATATAGTCAGTGATATGTATTGATATGTAGTGTCTTGTAATGTCTTGTATTGATCCATCAGCAATTTGGATGTTCATAGTTGAACACTGTGGAGACGGACAACCATCTCTCTTTCTACAGTCCTACTTTAAAAATGGTACAATATGGGACAATACTCTTTCTGTTGTGTCTGGACAAGGATGCCCGCACAGTTAGCATCAAAGTCTGGCACATGCTGCCGGCCTGTGTGAAGCCTTCACAGGCCCATATGCACATGATACATCGAATGACTGTAGGAGTGCGGAGGTGCACTGGCCGCTAGAAGCAAAAGGCGGCTCCATTTGAAAATGCCTTTAGGCCAGCGTGGGAGAAATCACGAAACTCACAAACGGCTGCCCGCGACAAGGCCTTCAGTAGCTGAAAGGAAGCAATGCCCTTGATGTTTTCGCATAGCTTTGGTCGCTTGCATTTCAGTTCCTTACGTCAATGGCTCATTGTGGTCTCACACCATCCCTCGCAGCCGAAACATTACGTAGGGAGGCCTACATCTTGAAAAAGGATTTGTGTATACTGTATGTGTATATATATCTCTCTCTCTCTCTCTCTCTCTCCCCCTGTGTTTTCAATATACAGTAAAAAATGAACGTAGCTTGTTGGGTTGATGATTCGCCAAATTGACATGCGAGCGAGAGGACTGCACGGCACCTCAAGCCCACTAACTATGCAAAAACGATCAAAAACGACCGACTCTGCGGGCTTCTCGTGCCACTTGAAGCTGATTAGCAGCCCCTGCTCGAAGTGTCACACAACAAATGTGAGCGGGAGGATTTCACCAGCGCAAACAACATGTATATATCCATTCTTGCCAGACCAAGGTGCACCTATTCAACCACAATCTGCTTGAATCATGTTAGTTGGCAGGGTCCCAGCACGAGCAGTGTCCCGCCGAGGCTCCGAAGTCCACGAAGACAATCCGCTTGGACCCTCCGACTGCTCGGAGTCCACAGAAACCTTCATCCTCCAGGGCACCAGGCGGGGCGGCCATATGAGGGACCATGGAAGAAACCGTGCCGCAAATTATCTGCAGTGAGTGTATCAAGTCCTTCATGTAAGACTTGATTGTATCATATTGTGTCATTGCATCCACTAAGACACTAAGAAATCAGAGCTTCTTTCTGTGCCCTGCCATGCCCTACCATACACCACCACCACCACCACCACCACCACCACCACCACAACCCTCCCACTCGCCTCAAATAACTAGTTTGGTTAATTGGCGGCAGTGCGCCACCTCTACTCCAGTAAGCATCAACACACACACACACATATATATATATATATATACATTTTATGATACTTATGTGTGTGTGCGTTTTGGGGTTTATTATAGACTATTATATAAAATCGTAGACTCTCCAGGTGTCCAATTGTAGTCCAGACCTCTTTCAACAAATCACCTCAAACACTCACAATTCAGAACACCGGTCCCTCCCCCAAAGAACGGTGAGACATACCATGGAGACTTGCACCACCCATCAAAAGGCCGGCGACCCTCACCTTTTCCATGCTTCAATTGTGTTATTGTTTTGTTTTTCTGTTTTGTTTCTTTGGCGTGACGATCCTGGTTGTTCTTCAACGATGTATAGCTGCACTATGCTGTTCGCTTCTATACAAGGTCTCTAGTTGGGAAAACTATTTGCCAATAGAAATTGTCTGGAAACGGCCATTGTCTGGAAACAGCCACCTACTGGGATCCAGAAATTGTGTGGACCATTATTTCAACCAATGGTTGGTGGAAGGCAGACTCCGTCCAATCAAAAAAATGTCCTCAGGTTGGGTGTGTTCTTCTTTTTCCTTGACCTCTCCGACCTTCGTGACGCAGGATGCACATGGTCCTTGGAGAAGAGAGCCGACACATCTGCGACTGTGACATTGTCAGGAATATTCGTGACATAGATCGTCAAAGATTGCTCGGTGCTTGTTGTTCTGGTTCCACCACTCCACATATTGAGGTGCCAATTCCTCGCATTCCCTTTCGCCAGGTCAACAGCTACTCCACCTTCTGCAAATCGACGGCATTGAGCTCCATGGCGTGCGCATGTTCTCTGCCCTTGGAAACCTTGTACTACTAATGAACTCAAAATAGAAAATATGGTTGAAGTAGTCAAAAAGAAATCTGTCATGTCATGCAGGGCCTCCACCATAAGCGCTATTCAAAATGTTGCAACTATCACTCGGATTGGTTTTACATTGCACGCAACTTGCAGGACCGCTTGGAACCTGCCGAGTCAAGTCAAGCCATGTCAAGTCACTTATTTTAAAACACACACACATTATATATATATATATATGAACCTGTGTGAGAAAGAGCATGTTGTAAACAACGTTTCGCTGACGCAACACAGAAGTACACCATAGATATCGCGTTCAAGATATATACGTTTGTACTCCCGCAATTCCTGCTACAACTTTGGTGGGCGTAGGCTGGGCAGCCGCCCTGGTCACATGTACGTCTGCATTGTTGTGCACGCTTCAACGTGGCCATCTCAAAATGAGGAGGTGCCAAAACCAATGGTCCAAGGCAAGAAAAAATGCCCTGTGCTTCAACATAGCCATATATTAGGGCCATAGTATTCTGATGGCGCGGGACATGGCCTTGGCTTTGGCCTTGGGCTTGGCAGTTGCTTTGCTCTTTGCTGGAGCTCGCGGCGCCTCCGTCATGTGTTGCAAAGGATTTGGATGTACAATAATTACAAACCAATCATTCCAATGTGAATCAAGCATAAAGGAAGGACATCATCATTTTTCAGTTTTGAAGACGGCTAGGTTTGCAGAATCAAAATCGTCAAATCGTGTCAAATCCAGTTTATGTGATCGGGACAGCATCACCTCAGCCTCGATCTTGGATGAGAAAGCCTTTTGGCCAGGTGATTGGCGGTGAAGAGAGCAGAGTCAAAACAAAACTGGTTCAGTGCTGAATTCTGGAGTTCACGTTGGCCTCCGTGAATATGACAATCCCAGTGTCAGTGTCTCAGTGTCTAGCAACTGCCCTCTTGAGGTGGAAAGAATCAATCTGTTCTGCTATGTTCTGCTCATTTCCGCCCCAAATCCTTCCAGTCTCTGTAACCGCTGTCCAGGAGCTCCTCGCCCACGGAGGGCTCCTCCCAAAAACAGAGGTGAGAGCCCCAAAAAGAAGTAGCGACTGCAGCGAAGAAACGAAGCGAACTGGACAGAACATGCAAGGAAATGATCACATCTACGTCAGAACACAAGAGCAGGTGATACCCAATCCGTCCTGCAGTTCTCCCCTTGATGTCACCCTGGGCACAATCAGGATTAGTTAAAAACTGGCTGCATGAGCGGCCCTTGTGGCGTTGCATACCCTGGCCCGCCCCCCAAAGAAACAACTGCAAAAGCTGTAATTCATGTTCAGGTTCGTGTTGGGTGTGAGGCCCTGGGTCTCACTTGCACAGCTTCACCCGTGGCGCAAGTAGCGAACGCAGTCTGACATGGCTGCCCTCACACTCGCCGTTGCCTCCACTTCGCCCAAGTCATCGAAGTCGAACTCAAACATCTGCCCATCAGAGATAGCTGCAAATAGCTGGTGCTAACTTCTAGGGAAAACCCAAGTTCATTGAAAGTGCTGTGATTGAATCTGCCCTACACTGGCAGGTGGAATGTCGTGAGCTGTGTTTAGCTGCAGGTGGAAGAATTTGAAAATCAATTGACAAACACATATATACAGTATCCTCACTGCAACTCTTTCTGGTTCTCATCCATGTCAAAACTCTAGGCTTAAGGTGCCCGAAGCGACTGGCTGGCTGCATGCAGCTTAACATGTACGATGAGCCAACTGCAGGCGGCAATGTCACAATTTGGGTCTCTGAGAATCGGCGACGCTCGGCCCTGAAGAAGCCGGTAGCCAAGTCCAATGCATTATTCCCTCTAATGAGCCTATCGACATTGCTTATGTCTCCACCACGTGACTTCCACACTGCATCAAGGGACCGTGAGAAAGTTCCTTGACTTACAAGTGTCCAACAACTTGACTAGCTATATGAGTAGATATGAGTTTACCTTCGGCCGCCAATCTTTTTCCAAGTCAGAATGGAACTTGCGATTTGAGGTAGTGCTGCCACCAAATCCTTGGCATCACTATTGGCAACTTAATCATTTCACGGCACCCAAAGATCAGGTTACCCTCCGGCATAAATGCAAACCTCTATGGAATCTGTCGGTCGAATCCATGTGACATGATATCCGGCGAAGTGCGCGATCTGAACACCAGCAGTCACCTACACCAACGTTTGCGCATGTTTTCCTTCATGGTCCTCTAGCTGATATCAATTGCACCTGTCTTGGATTCCAGTCTCCTTCAAGGGCCCGTTGCCTCACACTTGCGCAAATAGACATCTCCAGGTAGCTGTTCCAGATCGCCCTTCTTGGCCTCCGGGTCCCATGGCTTGGGTGAAGAGCAAAAGTGCAGGACCTGCCAAATCGATCGCCCAAAAGGGCGTGGAACCACGACAAGGGCCGACAAGGGTCCCCACTGGATCATTTGCTGCTTGGCCCGTTTCCTTGCCCTATCTTTGCTTGCGACATGTGACCAAGCGAGGGCAATGGCAACACTTCACATGTCTCATATCAAAGCCTCCGAACCCCTTCTTGCCTTCACAGGTGCGAGCGACTTCCAATATCCAGGGTTTGAATGTGTAAACCTCAACTGCGACCCAAGTCTTCCCTTTCGAGACCTGAATGATTTGACCTCGAATCCTGAGTCCTGTTTCTTTTTTCTGGGCCATAATACTGGTTGACTTCCTCCACATTCTGGTGGAAACAGCAATTTCATGGCCAGTTTCCCAGTTTCAGAACACGCTTCAATTACGTATCATCAGCTTAGGAACCAATACATAGTGCGCAAAGCATTGTAGCGGAATGGCAAGCGCTGCTCAGCCGGCCAGCGAAACCAATCCGGAAAAAAGGAGTTGAGGAAGCCCGTGTCGCCTTCGCTCAGAATCAAGATGGTCTGGGTTCACTTTGATTGGAACCAGTCACCTGGAAAATTTGTTCCCACTCTGAGCACTCTTTTTCACTCTTTAGCATCTCAAGTTTCCCGAAAATGTCTAAGGGTTACCGCTTTCCAATGCGATTGTCCAAAAACAACAGCACCTCCGTCGTGAGATGGAAGACGGTCTATTTGCTGCAGCATCTCCTGGCTCAAGATCACAGTGTGTATGGGTTTGCTGCATGGCGACTGGCGTTTGCCCTGGTGCCTGAAACACACTGCGGCTGGGCTCCACCACCATGACACCAGCATTGAACTTATCTGGTGGAAAAACGTCCTCAATCTGCTCAGGAACGGTCGTCTTAGCAATGGGATGCGTTGGGCACTTCCCAGCACAGCACGCGCAGTTACACTGAGGGTTTGTTCAAACCAACATGCCTCTCGTTACCTTGAAGGAAAACACCTGCAAACAAGGGTCCGCAAACCCGACAAAAAATGCAATGGGATGGCGATATCAGGCCAGGTGCTGGGCAAAAAGCTGGGCAAACGCTGGCAAACAATTCGTCAATGTTTTCCTTGGTGCATAAGGCAGGAACATGATTTGCTTTCATCAGGAAGGAACATGGAGCAGCTGATGCGCACATCCGCAAACCTCGTTGAAAACATACACGGTTCCGGGCCGCTTGCACGCGGCCAAGTGACCAAAATCAAACAATCCGCATCAATGTATACCAATTTTGCCTCTGCTGCAAGCAACATCCCCTCAAACACAAACACCCAACAGAGCGTGCAACAGCACCCTGTGGCCACTGAGTTCTGCTTTACTTTGATGTGTGGGTTTCAAACGACATACCACCACACAATCCCAATGGCAATAGCTAGGTTTCCCAAAAATACTTGAAAAAATATACAAAACTTCTTGCCTTCAAGACGCAAACTCCTCCTGCTCCCAAACGCGCAGCTTCGTGAAACCGGAGTTGACCCAGCCAGGCCTCGCACAAGCTGGCCATCACATCCATCAAAAACAAAAAACAAAACACTCTGCCCAACACACCCTTGCGGCCAAGATGCACATCCGTGCTATGTGGGTTGGCAATGGTTTCAACTGCTTTCCTCAGCGTATTGTGACAAGAATGGGTTCCATATGACATGATACATTTTCCTCCACTGCGCCGAAGTGCAATTTCAGGGAGGAATCCGATGCCAACCGGGCAACTGTGGTGCTGGAGACTTGGTCAGTGTGGAGTACCTGGGTTGTGGTTCCATGTCTCACTTTGAACGTGAAACGGACCTTGTGAACCTAAACGGCAAATATTTTTTTTCAACAACGGCAACTACACAAAAAAAAATCCCCTGCGCAATGAATGTCTGAGTGCATCGTCGCCACCAACATTGGCAAGTACTTAGTGCCAGTGCACCGAAGCGAGGATGCCAATGTTTGTACTGCCTTGAAGGCGTTTCCGGACAGCTGCAACACAAACACCCTAGCAAAACACCCAAGACCATTACCAAATACCATTGCTGGGAGGATTGAACGCGCCCAAAACGGTGCAAAAGTGACAGTTTGTTTTCGATTTCACCACCCACACAAAAAGGCTAAAGTCATGCGGCCGGGTTTCCATTAGGAAGTCATCTGACGTGATCAGTGTGACGTAGGCCAAGGGACCATCAGCGGCAAGCGGTGTGGTCATAACAAACTACCCTATGTCACAACACTCGTCACAACAAATTTAAAGAAAAAAACACCCAAAAAACACATTGTATTGTGCCAATCCATGTGGTGGAGCTGCAACAAAGGTAATGAAAGTCACCAAATTCGCAAAGAAAACGTTGATTGTTTGTTTGCCCGCATTCTTGAAACCAATGAACTTGAAATAAGGACCGTTGAGTCCGAAAGTTTACGCCAATGATTGAAAATACTTGTGGATTTTTTGGACCTTAGCGTGTTGTTGGGAACAAAATTGCAGGTGCCCTCGAATTGTGCAACTTGTCTAACACCAATAGTGGTTCGATTCTCTTGGGCCGCGCTTGCGGAGCTGCTTGCAGCTAGTGCACCATAGCATAGCAACACGCATCGCAATTAAATGACGGGTCTCTGCCTTAAGGTGAAGCGTGTGTCTCTGCTTTATTGGTGCGCCTCTCATTTTGTTGTGGCACCTGTATTGTTTTCATCCACGTGCCATGCAAAAATGGTTTCCAAACACACCAGGTGTTTCTCAAAAACTGTGATGGGTGACAGTGTGATTTTTTCGATGAACTTTGTCCCCCTCCGTGACGAGCGCCAGATCGCAATGGGAACACTGAGGCTTGACCATTCAAATTTCACTAGTCACTAGGCAGCACCTTCCCTCTACCAATGGCAACGTGGGATGATGGACAACCTACAACAAACCTTCCTTGCAGGTTGCAAAATCATCTTAAACGCGCCAACACCAGCCTCAGCCTGAAGAACAACTTGAACATGGTTGCACGATAGCAACCTTTGCATGGAACATCACCCTATACCACCGATTCCAGGCTCATGCCGTCTTCACAATGTAGTTGTTTGTGTTTTTCGACAGCTGTGGACTCAGTTATTTACCTGCCATATTTTGAGCATATCATATTCAACTATCCCAGCCAGTGTAAAATGGATGTGTAAATACTGCAACAGCACTTGCATCAGAGCGGAGCAGCAAAGAATATGATGATGCAGTTTCTGGCAAATGGGCAGTGGTGGGCCGTAGTGCATGACCCGATTGTCGTGTCGGGAAGGAAGCGACAGCTGCGAGACGAGATGGAACGACAGGTCATCAAGGAGGTCAACACACTCGCGGTAAAACATTGCTGGCCCTGGCTCGGGTGGTGTGATCAGAGAAGTATGGGGGATGAGAGCAACAATGGTCCATGCAGTCAAAAAATCAACTAGATCTGCACCTTGCACTGCCAGCTGCCGATCTCCGTTGACCCACCTTAAGTTGGTCTGGATTTCTATGGGTATCCGGACCTTTTGGATCTCAGCTTGTGAAATTTGAAGCGAGTTTACATTTCTTTTCGTTGCATCATGAATGCCCGGGAGCCCAAAACCAAGGCCATGGGCCTGTTCTCGGAGCATTTTGCAGAGCACCGGCGAGCCAACTCTTCGCCACTGATCTTGGCGAGAAGTGTCTTCAACCGAAAGCACAAGTCCTCGCCCTCGGTGATGTCCTGGACTTCAGCCCCATTGCTTGCCTGAGGTTCCTCTGGGACCGCCAGGTGCTGAGAGCCACCTGTTGGGATGTCCCTTCCAAAATGGACCTGGGAGTGCATCCTCCCACAATGCCCATTGTTGAGCTGACAAGATTCGGGGCCGAAGCGTCCGACCAAACAATGATGCTCAAACCTTGCAAAGGCACAGCCCAATGAGGAAACACCAAAGTCTGGGACACCATACGCACCTCGCACTTTTTGTTGTTCGCTTGCAGCAGCCTGTCCACCGTGGCACGCGGCGCCTCCGACAGCAGCAGTGCCACATCAGTTTGGAACTGTGGTGCCTTCTGTGAAGCCTGCCAGGACAAAGGGCCAATCACGCCACGAAGTTGGCTGATCTCATTGGAAAGTCGCTGCATCCTTCCGGTTTGCTGCCCTCCTTGTGGGCCTGGGTGATTTGGCAACCTGCAAAAGTGAACGGCTTTTCATCCCACCAGCCCCATCGGTACGCTGCTCCGGCTTCAGCTGCGTCGAACACACCATTGCCATCACGGCTTGCGTGAACCCGAGTCATGCCAACCACTTCTGCATCCTTTAAGATGAAAATGTAACTACCTGAAACCAACTTGATACATCCCTGGGATGTCAAGTGCCCAGAAATTGTGAAGGGTTTTTCCGCATGAAGGTCGGATGGGGGGGGTCCGGAGTCACACTCACAGATTCCGCTGACCAAGTGCCGGGCCACTTGGATTTAGGATGATTTGAGTCAAAAGGGTTTTCACCACCTTCAATGGTAGAGCCGGATCCGATGGATCCGGTCCATACAGCACTGCAAGATCCGGTGGGGCCCACACCACCACTGCTCCAATGATATCATCGCTGGAAGAACTGGCGCAACATCGCCTGAGCCCAGCTTGAAGCCATGGCTGGCGGCCAAACATAAGAGCACACCCTTGTCATCGTCGGTGCTGCAGCCTGACCTGGGTCAAGTTCGGCTGTTGAAAGCCTACTGCGAACTAGCGGGCCTTCGCCAATGAACCCTCAGGTCTAGGCTGTGTCGTAGGGACCCAGCGCATTTGCACGAGGCGTTTCTTGTCCAGGCGCTTCCATGTCAATGATCTCAACTCCTTGGTCTGAAGGAAATTGGAAATTGTTTTGCTTTGTGAATTGTTAGCTTAGCTGCGTGTGCCGACCACAAAGCGCTCCTTCGTGCAACAAGACTCTGCTGTCCAGTGGCTTGTGGCCTGTCCATGCTTGACCCTCTGTCGCCACAGCGTGGCCAGAAACCCCACCTTGAAGGCTGGAGGTGATTATCCAAGAGCATGGTTGAACCACCTTAAAGAATCCTCACTCCACCGTGCCCATACCAACATGTCAGCTTAAAGAGTCAGGACTCTGCCAACACAAACGGGGCACTGGCCCTCAAAAAATCTATACACGTTGAGCACAGTGCGCACACACCTGTGACACCCGCACCTCCCCTAAAGAATCAGAACGCCTGGTTCCAGTCCATGATGACAACAGCACAAAACCAGTCCATGCGTGTGGCAAAAAGTGCAGCTCTAAAGAAGCACACTCCGTTGCCACTCTAAAATGCATGGTGAACTCTACAGAATGGATGGTGGACTCTAAAGAATGGTCTGCTTTTTGACAACCCGGGTTGGCTGATTTCCTAAGAGGAAATTACATGGGGGATCAGGAAACTTGTACTTGGCGTGCCCCTGCTCCAAGGTTATCCGGATTGTTCCTGCAACGTCAAGAGTCCTCCAAGGGCCTTGTCTGGGCCCAGGCCTGAGGCAGATCTTTTGAGTTGCTCCTCAACGAACCACAATGAAACGCAGAGAGTCCACTTGGACCAATGGGAGCTGTTAGCCCTGTAGTCGTAATAGTAGTAGTAGTCGTCGTCGTCGTCGTCGTAGTTGTAGTGGCAGTCGTAGAAGTAGTCGTCGTCGTCGTCATAATAGTAGCAGTAGTAGTAGTAGTAGTAGGAACATTAGTAGGAATAGTAGTAGTAATAGTAGTAGTAGTAGTAGTAGTCGTCGTCGTAGTAGTAGTAGTGGTGGTAGTAGTAGTAGGTAGTAGGTAGTAGGTAGTAATGGTGGTGGTAGCAGTAGTAGTAATAGAAGTAGTAGGAGTAGTAGTAGTAGTAGTAGTATTAGTTAGTAGTGGTAGGCGTAGTGGTAGTCGTAGAAGTAGTCGTCGTCGTCATAATAGTAGCAGTAGTAGTAGTAGTAATAGTAATAGTAGAAGTGGCAGTAGCAGTAGCCGTAGCAGTAGGAGTAGTAGTAGTAGTAGTAGTAGTTCTAGTAGTAGGAGTAGCAGTAAAAGGTGTGGTAGTAACAGCAGTGAATAACGGGCACATACAATCAGCATTGACAAGGAAACGTATTCGCAAAATTGTTCCGACACCTTGAATAGTTCAGTGGGTGGCAATGGAAGACGTTGTTCGCCGGAGGAAACAACACACACACATGTTCATTGTTTTCCCACTCCTTCCTTTCAAGGTTCATCACAATCTCTTTTGGGGTTTGCTTGGTTCATGGAAATTATACCAGGCTTACCCAAGTCTTGGAATACGTTTTTAAGGCAGCGGATCTGATGCTGCAGCTGCTTTTACTATTACTACTGCTACTGCTACTGCTACTACTACTACTGCTACTGCTACTGCTACTTTCACTCCTGCTCCTCCTCCACCTCCTTCTTCCTACAACTCCTGCGGCTGCTACTGCTACAACAACAAGAACTGCCACTGCTGCTGTAACAACAACCACAACAACAACAACAACTACTACTACTACTACTCCTACTTTTACTATTACTATTACTAGTACTACCACGACTATCACTACCCCTACTCCTACTACTACTACTGCTACTACTGCTACTACTACTACTACTACAACAACAACAACAACTACTACTACTACTACTGCTACTACTATAACTACTTTTACTACTACTACTACTACTACTACTACTACTACTCCTACTACTACTATTGCGACTACTCCTACTACTACTACCACTACTCCTACTCCTACTACTACTACTACAACCACTACTACTACTACTACTACTACTTCCACTACTACTTCCACTACTACTACTACTACTACTTCCACTTCTACTACTACTTCCACTACTACTACTACTACTACTACTACTACTACTCTTATTACTACTACTACTACTACTACTACTACTACTCCTACTCCTACTTCTACTCCTACTCCTACTACTACTACTACTACTACTACTAGTACTACTACTACTACTGCTACTACTACTACTACTACTAGTACTACTAGTACTACTACTACTACTACTACTACTACTACTACTACTACTACTACTACTACTACTACTACCAGTTGGCTTCTTTGGCTTCGGCATTATATTGCAGCGCTGGGCGGGCAAGGAAACCTGACTGGGGGCGTGCGGCCATGTGATCCCCATACCCACCAACGAAGCGGCCACAACCCGGCTCAACCACTTAGCTGTTAAGAAATGATCCTCAGCACCAACAACAACGTTGGGTCACAGTTCCCATGGTGATGGGAAACCATGGAGAAGCTG